CCCCAAAACCCCAAAACCCCAAAACCCCTGATGATTAAATCTTTAAGATTTGAATGAGATTGAGGCGAATTAATAATTACTTTAAATGGGGCCTAAATAGTCAATTAATTGTTTAATGAGTGTTTGATTACCACTATATCGATTTTATAGAAAGAATCATAAGTCGAATAAGTTAGTATAATTAGTAACAATTGAATTAAAGTAAATCATTAATTTAAATACAATCATTACTTTCGCCTCCCTAACTGCGAACCTGAACAATGAACCAAGATAATCTAAAGCAGATACAAACCAAGGTGCACCCATTGAACCTCAATCTGAAGAAAAAGGTCAAGAACCCGGAGCTCTTCATTGCAGATCGACCTCAAAATCAGATAAAATTACTGACTTACAATATCCAGATGATTCCTAAATCACTGCAAGGTGAGTACCAGTCAGGTTACTAAGAAGAAAGATTACTCGACATCTTTAAAAATCTAGGGGAATATGATATTGTATGCTTCTAAGAGGCTTGGGGATTATTTTAAGAAATCAAGTAGCTGTTAATGCTTTATGCCCAGAAGGCGGGTTTCTTGTATGTAGCAGAAACAAGAGACCCAAATTTCTCATCAACCTACTTGGGAGATGCAGGTATAATGATAGTCAGTAGATTCTACATAAAGAAGAGTCAATCTATATAGTACTCATTCGGAGTTGGCAACGATGGATGGACCAGAAGAGGAGTCTTATATACTCAGATCTCAATAGGCGGAAAAGAAATTCAAGATTCGAATGGGAATAGTAAAATAATAGATAGTGCTATTCTCCACCTATTTACCACTCACATGCAGTCAAGTCACTTCTACCCGACAAATGTTGCCCCTTCTACTCTTAAGCAAAGTATAGTCTGCCGTACTGAGCAGTGCCGAGAGTTAAGTTCATTCATCGGAGAGCAACTTAAATAGAGCAAACTTGGCCCAACAGATTTAGTGTTGCTCACTGGAGACATGAATATTAGTGGCCGTGAAATAAATCCAATCATGACTAAGAGACTCATCAAGGAGAATCCTTTGTTTGCTGATGTGATTAAGGAACTTTACCTAGAATATCGTATACTCACTGAACTGCTTTCTCAGGGACAGCAGAACACAGTCATTGATCTCTTGAGAAGGGATAATAAAGACCATCTAGATGAATTATGCACATTTGGGGATTACTATTTGAATGAGATAGGAGAATGTGTTCCGACTGAAACTGTACTGACTGTTAAAAATGAGTAGTGTTTCAAAGAGCTACTCGATTATATATTCTAGATCAAGCATAACGATGGGCCAAGCAAATAAGAATAATGCCAGAGTAAAAGTGGAGAGATATCATCAAAGGCCTTATTGAGAATGCTACCTGGGTCTACTTAGATATAGAAGTTTTTTATTAAGGGTAGGCCTTATACATAGACAAGTGATCATTATGGAATTAGTACAGACATTGAATATTTAGAATTTGATGATGAAAATGATCTTTTAAAGAAATTTGATTGAGCTCAATGAAGATTAGGCTCATGAGCTAATGATAAAGAGATGTTTAATTCTGTAAATATTTCTGAGATTATTAAGAAAATTCGATAAATATGAGAATAAATATAAAAGCAAGGTGAAAATGGTTTGCTAATTTTCTCCTAAATATTTAAATGTCTAATAAATTCGAATTTTCATCATAATTTTTTCTCAAATAAATTTATTGAATGAAAAGAATGACGGGGTTTTGGGGTTTTGGGG